CAGGTCAGAAAGCTTCTGTTACCAAGGAAGGAGATTTATTCAATACTGCAGGTAGCTGCCATTCTGTCAGGCAAATACATTTTTCAGTATGTGTAAATTGGTAAATAGATATGGAAATCGTAATGGGATTGGGTTTGTATTTATTTTTCCTTTTATATTAAAAAAAGCAAATTGTTTAGAAAAGTGTGGATACTTTTAACTATCTAGGGAGACCTACTAAAAGTCTCTCAGTTAATTTTTTGCTGCTTAAAAAAAGCTACCAAATTGGCACAGAATTGATAGACAGTATTAATTTACAACTTGCTGGGAATGCTTTTGATATTCATAACAGGGTCTTTTTTTTTGCTCAGACAAAAATAATCAATCTTTAGCAGTTTTATTGTGTGAACTATGGAATATTTTTTTATGTGGTAAAAATACTCAAAAATTCTGTCAATACAGAGCCCTGAGGAACCCACTCATACATGGAAAGAGGTGACTGATAGAATATGAACAGGGGATGCCTCCCAAATCCACAATGACTTTTGAAACAATCCATCAGTGATAACGTGAAATTACAGTAAATGTTTGTAAGGCAAATTAGATTTACTCACTAACTATACAACTTTCAATGATAAGTTTTTGGACAATTGTGACTCTCAGGGAAAAATGAAGCTTTCATGGTCATGTTCTCTCCTTCTATCCCCTCTCCTGGTTTTGCGTATTTCTTCAGTCAGTCGCTTCTCCCACCACAACGTTGCATTCCTCTAATTTTAATGAAAATACGCAGCTGGTTGGAAGGACAAGTTGCTAGCAGTATTCTTACTGAGGGAGGGGCTAATAAACTCAGCCCATATTAGATGTTAAAGAACCTGTGTGGAAGAGGGCACTTTGGAACCAGGCTGGTCATGAGGCTTTTTTATAATTTATAAGTTTTAAGCTTTTTTTTTTTTAATTTATAAGCTTTAAGCTTAATTTGATAGATTGCCAAGTTGTAGTTAAACCAAATTCTCAGTAACTAAGACAAAATAAATGGTAAGAATATGCCAAATGATTACATTTGGTGGGAGATCTTGTACATAAGGTATTACAGCTTCTAGTACACCACGGGAGAAAGAAAATGTAACCCGTGAAAGGAAGTAATTATTCATGTCTGAAAGATATTGATAAAACTGAGCGATAAATCCTACAGCTATTTACAGAATGTCAAAAGACAGACAGCAAACTCCTCATATAAAATTTAGTTTGGTGTTATCTCATGACGATAACTGCGCTCAGAGAACTGCTTAGGTTTAGTGCAGGGGGAGCGAAACGCTGAGATTCCCATCAGCCTTCCAATATGTACAAACCAAGGACTTTTTTAAAAAAAAAAAAAAGAAAAGAAAAAAGGGATGGTGATGGGAGGAGGTTCCCAGATTGCCAGGCTCTGCAGAAACTACCCCCTAGAAGACTAACTTTCTCGTGAAGGTAGCCATGAAATCTTGTTCTGGGAGTAGCACGTAGGGGCAATAAGGAGTGAAATCAAAGATATGAGCTGTTGATAGGTTTTTCTTCTTTCACTGCCATCCAAATACTGTCTCAATAGGCTCGTCCATTACTAATCAACTTTGAGAAGATTTCCTACTCTCAAAGTTGTCTCTTTGGGATGAAACCCTGAAGTGACTAACCGCCTGTAAACAGGAGAATTATGTGTCCTCCTGAAGCTGACTGGCATATGACTATTCTCTGAAAGACAGACAGTAGACCAGCAAATGTGTGTTATTACAATCAGTGAGATGTTGACAACAGATGTGAATTTTTAGGTTTTTGAGCTTTGACATAGCTGTGGCAAATCTGCCATGCTAGTTTTATCTCCTGTTTACTGACTTTTCTGCATTTTGGATTTGAAATGGATCCCCCAAAACTTGCTTTGAGAGTACGGAAACATAATTTAGTGCTAAATGCTATCAAGTGAAAAGAAGTTTGGGGTTTTTCTCCTTGTTGTTGTTGTTGGTTTTTGGTTTGGGTGTTTTGGTTTTTTTTCTTTTCTGTTTTTTTAGCCTACTCTTTGGGACTCTGGACATGCTACTACTATTCATTGGGCTGGAGTGTTATTGTCTAGGATGCAAACATACATAGGTAGCTGAGTCCTCCTCTCTGTCATTGGCCTCAATGTGGCACTACTATTTTTCCAGCAAAAATAGAATGCTGCTTTTCTGGGAAAGCTACCTTTAACTCTGGTTATTTACAGAGGGGTTTTGTTACTCTCTGTGTGCCTATGCAGGAAACTATGTTTCTCCCAAGGAAGTGAACTAGAAAGAGCAAGATCAGTACAGCTGCAAGACTGTCAAGAGCTGTCTGGGGTATGGTGTCTGGGCTTATCAGTTTGCATTAATCATGAAATTACACGTTGCTTTTCAGGTTATGGAAATAGCAAATAGTATCTCTAAACATAATTATTTTTTCTAGAAGGGTATTCTGGAGTGCCAGCACTTTTGGGCAAGGATGTTATTTTGGACCACTCAAATCAGACCCTAATAGTCTGCTCTGGACCATTGTAGAAGACAATTAGCTCCACCTTTTTCTGATGAAAAAGAGAATTAGCCCAATTCTGAATGGTTATCACAAGCTGGAGTAACTGCAGTCTTGGGAACGGGATGGCTTCTAGCTTCCCCTGCAGATTTGCACAGTCCATAGAGTTTATTATGATCACGTTGACCCATCTGAACCTGGTTATCTTTTACCCTGCAACGACACAAGGATTAAGCTGCACCAAATCAGAAGTAGTGAACAGTCATCTTTGATGATGTTTCCATTGGTGGCCAGATGTTGACATGTTTAAGGGAAGTGATTGCTGTTGAAAGGGGAAGGGAGGAGGAGTGAGGCACTCTGGCTCTAGTGGGAGAGCATGAAAACATGACATCTATTACAAATGAGAATACTCTGATGATGAACTGCAGACACACCATTTTTATAAGCAATTAGGAAATTTTCATCACAAAATGTTCAAAGCAAATTGTATACAGACATCCATTTTTCCAGCAAAGGCAGACTGTGAGGATGGTTTGGGCTTCTTTTGAGCAAGGGGGAAGTTGATTACAAAATAACACAGAATTAACATATTAATTAAAAACAGTCAGCTCTGTAATTGGCTACATAATCCAATATTTCATGTTAATGAAACCCACTAGGAATGCTGACTGAGTGTTCCAGTTGGTACTTCTTTAAATAATTATTTGCACAGGAAAATTAAAGTAAAATTCTTTCAATGGGCAACTGGAGTAATATATGGAAGTGTCCCAACTGGAACTTGTAATGTCCCTAATGCATTAAACTCAGAACATTTTAAATATGTCAGTTTCAAATTGGAGGAAAACATAATAGAAACAGTTCTTGTCACACAGGAACAAATGTGTCTTGCACCTTTATCAAAAAGTGTTTCAATCAACCATTAAGAGGCACAGAGATGGAGTAATCTGTGATTTTGTAGGTTTAACAACAGGGTTTCTCTGCTCAGGGCGACTCTTGAATATTAATCTCAATTTAAAAAGGATGTAACTTTCAAAGTGACATCATAAAATTTAATATTAAGACTTTATTTGAACGTGCTAATTCACAGTTCAAATAGTATCCATCTGATGTAATGTAATTTACCTCTAAACAAAACTGAATGAAGCTGCATGAAGGCTATTGTCATCTCTGATAAACATGTCCAATAGTCTTCACCCCATGTTAAAAGAATTTCAGATTAACTATAGTGAGTGATTCCTTCTATACAGAAGTTTCTCCTTCCCCAGCTCTTTGCATCCAAAGTTAGTAATTTCAGTGTCAGGAAAACTAATCATGGTGCTAACTTGCAAAATAAATTTGTCAAATTATTTCGGTACAGTGTAATGGGATACTCTCGTTTAGAAAAATAGATACGATGTTTCAGTCAGTGTGTAGTTTAAGCTGCCGTTCAAATTAAAGAAGCACTTTCAACATGGTGTGGCCCTGTTACAATTTATTAGTGGTGGCAGGACTGTGTGTTATTATTGCTTATTATTGCTGACAAGCCGTGCTAATATGCAAAAAAATAGATGAAACACTCAACAGAAAATTAAAAAATATTTAAATGTTCCAATTTGAAAAAAGAAGAAAATATTTTCCTACTTTTAGTATTAATATTGTCACATGTCTATATAAGTATGTTCATTCAGGCTTATCAGAACATCTTTTGAAAATGACAAATATTTTCTGACCATCTTAGGTTGGGAAGCTTAATTCTTTGTTAGAGTTAGGAACAAGTAACTTGAAATAAGTTTTACAATGATAGCTTGTCTAAGACAGAAATAAATCTCATGTCTGGAAGGGAAGTTGTTCCATTCCCGTTAGGTATTTTCAAGATACCTAATGATCTGGGATTCTGCGATATTATGCCTCCAAAGCAGGTCACTTTTTTCTTCATCTGAAGGGTCTCTGCTGGGCCTGTGGTCCATTCAGTCCAAGTCAGTAGTGCATCCCTCTAGATGCCTTTTGGTGAGCTTGGCCTACTTGCAAGTGTGATGAAAATTTAGTCCTAGTTGGGATAAAAAGTCAGAAGTTTTTAGAGCACTTTGGTAGCTACCATGTCCTGGCCTACTCTCAGTGCTGTGCCAGGACCCGGGCAGGCAGCTGCAAGTTCCTAGTATTGCCTTCCACAGGGCCAATTTTGACCAACCTGTGGCACAGGACCCTTGGCAGATTGGCAGTACAGCCATCACCATGGCCATGTGTGCATCAGGTTGTATGAAAATAGGCACCTCTAGGGTGACTACAAAAGTTTTCCATACCATTGCCTGAGCCCCTGTTTTCTTTCTCTGTCTTCATTTACTCAAGGTAGTTAGCAAACAGCCCAGTGTGCAATTGTGCTATCGTCTTAGTGTGGTGTACTTCCACTGCAGGGTGGTCCCCTGACTTCAAACAGGCAAACAGAAGGACAGACTGTCCCCTGTACTGTTGAAAATACATATTGTTTTTGTATTCTGAGCTGATAAAACTAATTGCATTTCTTTTCTCTGCAGATGAAGTTTTGCCCCATCCACATGCTTTCTGTAAGAATCATACAAGCTAAGAACATCAAGTCAAGAGACCTGTGTGAGTTGTGGTTTGGTTGTGTTTTTAGTCAACTCCAGAGTTTACATAGTGAGCAACGTTCCTAAATTCTGAAAGGTATACAAGCAACGTACATAAAGCACAGCAACAGTAGTACTAATGCTGGGGCTATAATTAGATCAAATGTTTGAGGTATCACTAGATTGGAGGACATATCTAGTCGCATTTCAGGGAACTGGTAAAAACCAAAACTCACAGACTAATTCCTTGGGCCAGCAAGGGAAAGTAGACCTTGTGAGGACACTGCAATCTGTAAATCTGCTTGGAGTTGTTTGGTTTTGATATTCATAATTGGCATAAATCATATAATGGACTTGAATTTTGCCACACAGGCCACGTATTTAGGGACCTTTTATTGAAATGTGTCAATTATACACAGTAATGAAAGGTAAATTAGAGAATTTCAAGCCTTCTAAAATACAGTATCATTCGGGGTATTTGCTGTTCTCACATGACCAATCATGTTAAATTATATGGACAGTTTCTTCTTAAGGAGGGCCTCGGCAGATCCAGCCCTAAGCACATGCTGAACATGCAGGCAAAACAGACTTTTCCATGTACTTTTGTATTCATCTTTCTTTAACTCATTATCTCACCCTTGCAGCCTCCTATGGCTCCTTCTCAAGGTGTACTATGGACCAGCCATTCAGCTGCCATTTTTGCAGAGGTTGTCCCATGGGTTCATCAGTCAGGACAGACACCTTGAGCTGCCTTTTCTCACACTTTTGAAACCTCTGGCATGTGTATTCCTCTAGTGAAAAATGCCACGTTCAACCAAAAAAGCATCGCTTTGCAGTGAGTTACTTGAGTTACAGCTGAGACAATTCATGTCTTGCCATGCAGAGCCAAGCACAACCTTGGCCAAGCCCAGATGCAAGGGACACCAGAGGGAGTGGATCCCATGTTGGCTGAGAAACTGCCTGCCAAATGGCTTCCTGTATTCCTGTGGCAAATGCCACGTAGCAACGTCCAGAGGTGAACACTAGAAAGGTGGTAGTGTGACAAGGCCTGTATTTCTGAGTTTCAATGATCTCTTCTATCTACTCTATTGAAGGGACAGTTCCACTTTCCTGCCAAAACCTTGCGGGGCAATGTTATTCACTGCTTGATACCAGTCTGAAGTATTTAGGCATCTCGGGCTGCAGTAGACATCTTCAGTCAAGTCCAGACTCCAGCTCTGAAAGACATCACCTTGGAGATTTCCTTTCACACCGTTGTCAAGCTTCACAAAGTAAATGCGCTTTCCCACCCTGGCTCTTCTCAAAGGATGGCTGCTCGAGGCACTGACTGCACTAACCTTAAGGAGTAGATGTAGACTGGAAGTGAGATGAAGATTTCCGACTTGCTCATGCCCTCGTGTTCTTGGGCCCACACTGGCCTTTAGCTGCAACAGATCTTTTTCCCCAGTACCTAACCATTCTAGATAGCTGTTGTGTCGCCTCTGCATGTTTGTGTTGCTGGACTGAGCAAGCCAGTCTCCTCTGACCTTCTCTGTAATACGTGTTCTCATTTCCTGTAATCATCCTAACAGCCCTTTTTGGAACTAGTGTCAGTTAAACATTTTTAACATCGTTGACTGGAATTGTAGGGAATATGCCCGATGAATGGTTGGTGGGGTCTTTTATATCTCTTTCTCTTCACATGGGAAACACGGTTCTTAGTATACTTTGTGTGTGCATGAGTACATTTGCAATTTGTAGTTACCCAGGAATTAGATGGTTTTCCTTGGTTGCTTCCAGCCAATGGTCACTTTACTTATTTGAAAAAAAGTAGTAACATGTATCAGTCCGCAGAGTCACGGCCTTGCCCTACTTTTCATCTATAACATTGGCATCAGGTTTTTAATTTTTCTCCACTGCAGTAACTGCATCAGACTGCTATGTGCGCTTGTGGCTGCCATCTGCTTCAAATGGAAAATTTCAGACCAAAACCATCAAGAATTCTGACAACCCTGTCTGGAACGAGACCTTCTACTTTAGGATCCAGAGAGAAGTTGAGGTAGTAAAAAAATAGAAATGTCACCATTTTGAGTAGCTGGGAATCCTCACTTAATATCGTGTTGATGAACTCTGCTAAACAACTTAAGAAAATGCTTGTGTAACATAATTTGCAACTGACTGGTTATCACAAAACAGTAGACATATCCAGCAGTGTTCCCCTCACCTAGTTATAGACATCGGTGATATAAACGCCTACATCTGAGCTAGTCCAGATTCCATTTATTGTCACCTGGGAGAAATATGTACTGCTGTAGCATGCTTCGTCTGGGCTATTTTGGATGGTTAATTTAGAAAGAGCTTTCCCTCCACTGGTTGTAAGGGAAGGGCTGAGGAGTTGCTGTGGTGTAGACAGCAAATTTAATCCTACCTTAAGCTGTGTAGTTAAAGAGAACTTCAGGGATTAAGAAACTGAGTAAGTGTGGTTTTTGGGTGGGTTATCAGAGTGCAGAGCACTGACATCTTTTCTGTCTCGTTATAGTGGGAGCTCTCTGTTATACGTAGTTGTCTTCTATTTTGTGATATGTTTCCTCAGATTGGGTTTAATGATGGTGTCCCACATTAGCAAACTCCTGAAGGAAAGCAGTTTCTTTATTCTTACCACTGTGCTAGTCAAGCAGCTGCAAAAGTCTATAACCATTTTTTTGTTTCTGTGTAACAGCAGCTCAATAAGAGTTGTTATTTCTTTTCTTCTACTACCAGAACATTCTAGAATTGGCAGTGTGTGATGAAGATCCACTCACCAAAGATGACATGCAGTTCACAGTTCTTTTTAATGTTGCTAGAATCAGACCTGGAGAGACACTCCGTGAGACATTTGCTTTGAAATCAGAGGTAAGGACTGAAAATACAGGGACAAATCAGCAAGACCTCATTGTCCACATTGGCTTCCATGTTAAGTGGGGTTAAGGATAAAGTAGATTAAGGATTAAGTGTTTAAGGATAAACAGATATCCTTATATATCATTATCAATACCTCATCAAACAGATATCATTGTGCTGGATTTTTTTTTCACAGATTCAGAAAATGAAGCAGCTTCTCTCTCATGCCCACCATCTCTGTGGGGGCAAAATGTGTTAACAGGGAACATCTGTAAATAGTCGTTTTTATCTTTTATAATCCAAATAAATAACTTCCTTACCTTTCAGTTTTATTCCACTTTTGCCATGCTTAGAGGACATTTCCTCTTAAATGGCAACTTTTTATTAAAAACATGAAGACAATCCACTCACCACTTGAATTAAATGGTTCTTTCAGGCTTCTCCTGTTGGTGTTCATGCTAGGTTTCCTTCTAGGTGATTCAGATTTCTGTAGCCCATAGTAAAGGGACGCCTGTTCTGCTACCATCTTTGGTATTTTGGAGCCCATGAAAGAGACTTGTCCAGAGAACAAAGCTGGGGTAGGTCTGTGACAACTCTTGGACTTGTCTGAGCTGTGGCTAAGGTATTGCTGCATGCTCATTGCAGGAAGGAGACAGTCCATACGCAAAAGAACAGCTACTTCCCAAATGCTGAAAGCTGTTAACATGGATCTTCCTTGTGACTCTGCAGACTGGTGTCATGCACTTCTCGGCCAGTGGGTGAATCACTGGGAAATATAATGATTCAGTAACCACCTCAGTCCAGCATACTCTTGCCTACTTCATCTCTGATGGATTCAGTGTGAATGCGATTTAAATGGTTTGTACAGGGAAATGACACTGGCATTAGTCACATTTGTTCCTGGGCTTCAATGCCTCTCCGCCATGCACACCATCTTTGCAGAAAGCCATTATATTTCTGTTTCAGTCAAGCTTTCCCCCTCTGATTGTGTCTTTGGAAATACGTGTCATTCTACATATACCACAATGGGAGAATATTAATCTTACATGCCTTTTGCAAGCCTGTGGTTTCCATTGCAATCGCAGCTTTGGAAAGAGGTAACACACAGCTTTTTTGGTAACATTAGTAGAAGAGATGTCAGCCACGCAAGTGCTTCTTAGGTGTGTCTATACTGCCAAATTCTTGCAGTCTCTGATAATCCATATTTATTTTACCCTTTTCAGAAAGAGAGGTGCACTAAGAAATGGGAAAGTTTGGAAGTGGAATTCTGGATGGAAAGAATGTGAGTAAAATTCCAAAGCTGAAAGGTATAGATCTTATAGGGAGTAATAATATCTCAGAGAAAGAGGAACTTCTTCCAGCTCTTCCTTCCAGCAGTGAGCTGAAATTACAGCTTCAAACTTTTTTTTACCTTAACTTCCCCAGCTAATTCTGCCTTTCAGTGTATTTGATACAAATCTTACCTTCTGTTCAACATGTATATCCTGATAGTGGAAACGTAGTAACATTGGCACGATGTGAGAACTTGTACACAAGATGCATGTAAAACTTAACAGAGGTGCTCTTCAAGTTGTTAATATTAATTGAACACTGTGGTGTTTCTAAAGACCAGAAAACTTGTATTATAATCACAATACATACACAGAGTTATGTAGACAGTATTAGAAAAGTCACCCATTAGGTGATAGCTCAGTTAAACTGAAAAAACACACAATCAACTAATAATAAAATTAAGACCATCCCCTCAAAGTGGTAGTCAACATTGTTTGGAAGTGAACAAATCCCGTAAGAGAAACTTCATCTCTCTTTTAAATGCTATCACAAATTTGGTTGAAAAAAAAACCCTGAACTACACGTTCTGGAATATTTGAGCTTAGCATTACCAAAAAAAGGAATACAGTCCAGTCAAAACTGACTAGCTGCATGATTAGAAGAAGGAACTGTAAATAAGGCTTCTTATTCTTAAACATGGAAAAGCTTCAGAAGAAAACCCCTGGTATTCTTGGCTAATTTCTCCCACAGTGAAACTCAAGAAAATCTATTTAATTTATCTGTGAGAGATACCTTAAGAGATGGTATAAGCATCTCCTGCAAATGTGAAAGCAATCACAGTCAGGTATATGAAAAGGGCAGAATGAGATGCAGTGCTTGGAAACTGGATTGAGTAGATTCAGACTAGAAATAAGAGGAACATCTTTCACTATTCAGGTTATAAGGCATGTGAGGGATTCTCCACCCTTGGAAGTCAAACCTAGTTATTTACATTTAAATACATTCTACAGCCGAAATAGAAGTTTTAAGGCTGGAAATGGTGCTTGGTAAAATAGCCTGGCCTTTGCAGAAAGTCAAAGATTACATACTACATAACTTTAATCGTCCTTTCAGATATATGAAAACACTTACGAATGTGTGTAACATAGCGATATTGGAGTATTGGCCTTAATGAGAGATGCTGTTAGTAGACTCTGTAGGTTACTCATAGTATTAAATAACTACATCCATTCAGTGACAGACCTAGGTCTTACAAGGTAAAATGTCTGGGACAAAGACTTCTATTACTTACCTCTGTGTTTTCCAGTCTTACATATAGCACGGTGGGAGCTAATTCTTACTTGCCGTTCATTTGTGATCAGTTGTAAATTATAATTTGGAACAGTCAGAAATGTCTTTCCTAATTAGTATATGCAGAATACATTAATAGTAGTCTTCGCTTTCCCCAAGTCATATGGTCATGTGTTAATAGCAGGACATGATTCCACATAGACCAATATGTCTTTGTTCTGCTGTATCTTAGCAAATGTTTTTAAGCATTGGTATTTTTATGGGATCTCCTGCCTTTCTTCTTGTTTGGCTACTACATTTTGGTTCATGTGCTTAGCAGGTGATCATGTATTACACCTTTTAAAAACCAAATTGTGATACTAACGTAACTATATGCAATTTTAAGCAGGAAAGGTCATAAAAATACTTTAAAAAACCCAAACCAGATACTCACACTGCTTTTGATTGTTTGGCTTTTTATTCTGTCTTTTCAGTCCTGGCCCTCCAGAGCACCTCATTACCAATGATGTCCTAGTGGTAAGGTTCACAGATGAATTTAGCTTAGAGTGACTTTTCCTTCATTTTGATTCTCTCCTCTTCCCCCCAGCCATCTGACATTTTATAGAGAGAACAGAAGCTACCATGATACATAGAAGCATGGTGTGCATTATAAAGTGAAAGATGTGGGATGATTCCCATTTGTTAATGGCTTAACTGTTGCCCTCTCCATGCAAAAATAGAAGCTGTGTTTCTTGAAGTCCTCAGGTATCACAGTTTTCAATATTTTTCCCAGCTGTAGTTTGTTAATGTTGCAGAACTCCATATTTGCTGGTGTTCAAAGTGAAAACTACTTGTGTTTCATGTAATACAGTATGGCACTTGGCAGGAAAAACAAAGGTTGTAAAAAGGATGAGTCTGTAGAAGGCAATAGTAAGTATTCAGTGTGCTTATGACTGGAAGGTTATCTAATGTAACAGCTTTGTGGGAAATGAGTTTTTTAATAAAGAGTTATTTTGGTTGTTGAAACACAGAGTCCTCTTTTGGTATTAGTCAGCATGTGGTACATTACCTATCTCCTTGGGCTGGCCTAGCAGCTAAGGAGTACAAAGTACTTCATGCCAACCACTCCAAGCCTGTACATGATTTTCAGATGCTAGCCTTTGATACCCCTGAGGCAAAGTAACACATATTCTGTTCTTTCCCCCTCATTTTCTGTGTGAGGCATAAGAGCTGTAATGATTGGCATGTGTTGTTCCTGAAATAGCTTGGAAAACTGTCCTGGCATGAGTTATTAAAGGTGAACTGGAATGACTCAGGTGGAGGGTAGGGTGGAATAAGTCCATGATCTACCTACATCAGGACCAGCAAGAAGATGCCTTGTAGACTAATCACTGCCACAATACACAGAAACTCATCATCAGGTGTTTTCCCCCACCCTTCCTAAATAATTATCAGACATATGGGTAGCTGTTTGGGCAACAATATGTTTTACAGAGTTTCCTGATTTTGGGGTAACTTGAATGGGTATAAAAAGCTCTAGCAATGCACCACTGTATGAACAAGCTAGTTCTGAAGCAGCGTCACTGGGCTACTGTCCTGGGATAACAAGCTCTGAACTTACTCTGGTGCAGCTGGATTTCTTCCAGCATTGAGACCAGTTTAGTTGGCTCTGTGTGATAAGTGATCATCTGCATGACATTTCATGATTTGCTGCAGATGTGGCATTTACTATCTTCACACTTTTCCACTCCTGTCATTTACAGTCCCGTGAGGTTTGCTGCTTGGAAGTGCAAGTGGACATTAACGAAAGCAGGAAATATTTGAAAGGTATGCCAATTTCTCTGTGAAGCAAGAACATGACCAGATCAACCCTATCATAGTCTTTCAGACCCAGATGGAGGCACTTTAGGATGCAGAGACAACTAAGAATGTTCTAAAGACAAGAAAACCTAATGCAGTGAAAGTCCCTGAACTGCCTCCAGTTCTAAACATGGATCTCTGTGTCTTTTCCTTGAAGCTATCACGTTTGGACACAGTAAACTTTGCTGGTAGAAGTATGAGAGAGTGCTGACTCTGGAAGCACTCCAAGCTGTGGGGTAAAGGCAGGAGTACCAGTTCCTGTGCTGTAGGAGACTTGCCAGTGTGGTAACTTATAGAGGAGTTACCACAGAGAATGACTCCAGCAGAAAGTTTGCCAACTTTGTTAGCTATTTTGCCTGAACAGCGGTATTATTCTCTAAACAAACTCATTTTCACTAGAGGGTAAAAATCTCGTGCTTACGGTGCCTGCATCTCATGAGGGAACACAGAAAACTACAGAGGACACAGATACTTTCTACTTCCATTGTGTGAAGTCTTGGGAGCCAGTTCTAAAAGTCAGGCTGCAGGTAAGGGGCTGTTCATACTGCTTGCTTATTTCCAGTGTCATCAAAACAGTAAAGAACTGGATTGTTTCTATTCTGTGAATAAAAAACATGCTTTTTATCCTCTGTAGAAAGTTTCTGATAAGGAAGATGACAACAGCAATTTAAGTGACACCTTAACAGTACCACTGAAATTTCTTCCTGTTGGACATAAAGTGAAAGTAACCCTGCCTGTAAGACATGTAAGTGCTTCACCATTTATATGATATTTTGGAGGGAAGAGTAGAGTAACCCGCAGTATTTAACACCACAACATTTAAAGAAAGCCAGTTAGTAAGTCTGAGTGAGAATTTTGTGTAAATACAAGTTCTCTGTGAAAAAGATTATTTTTTTCAGAGAATTATCAATTTTCTGTCAATAAAACCAATTATTGGGAATTCATCCTCGCCAATTTTAGATGCATTTCAGATAAACCTCTGCTGTCCTTACACAGTTAAAGGAGAATATTCAATACCCCTAGCAAGGCTTTGGGATGCCCCGCTGCTCTTTATCAAGCTCAGGTGGCTTGCTTAGTCTATATACCTAAATTTTGGATGGCTAAGATGAGTTGAATCTTGCCCTCAGAGAACAATTCTGTCACATTCTTCTATGTGTACAGTCATGATGGTAACTGTTTGAGAGCTACAACTCTAAGTTGCTTTAAAAGCAGTAGTAATGCTGCTGTGTGGCCAGATAAATCTGTTAACAATAGTCAGGCATCCTTTCCCAGACCTTGCAGCAAATGAGAGGCAAAAATAAGAGAAGAATTTCTCAGCAGGCTTTCCTGTAAAGACAAGGGAGAATGAATGTCTGTTTTGCCACTAGTGATTCCCCACCCCTCTGTTTGGACTCTCTTTTACCTCCAGTAGCTTTTTGGAAGGATGCAGGGTGGTAGTGGTGGGGCATTCGAGAAGGCACTGAAATCTGGATTTCAAAACTTCTCCTTTTCCCAGTCATTGACA